CAACTAGAACATCCAGTACAACGTTGAACAGAAGCAACTAGAACATCCAGTACAAGGTTGAACGGAACCAGTTAGAACATCCTTTACAACGTTGAACGGAACCAACTAGAAGATCCTTTACAACGTTGAACCAAACCAACTAGGACATCCGGTACAAGGCTGAACGGAACCAGCTAGGACATCCGGTACAACGCTGGACGGAACCAGCTAGGACATCCGGTACAAGGTTGAACAGAAACAAGTAGAACATCCAGTACAACGTTGAACAGAAGCAACTAGAACATCCGGTACAACGTTGAACACAACCAGCTAGAACATCCAGTACAACGTTGAACAGAAGTGTTGAAAGCAGACACCCTTGCTTGTTTCCTACTATAGGGGAAAAACATTCAGTCTTTCACGGTTCTGTAGGATGTTAGCTAGGGTTTTTTTAAATGCCCATTATCAAGTTGAGGAAATTCCCTTTTATTCCTAAATGGTTGAGAGTTTTTGCCATGAGTAGATGTTGGTTTTGCTAAATGCCTTTCGCTGCATCTGTTGAAATAGTCATATAGTTTTTGTCTTTTATTATACTGATTTTCAGTGTTGAACCAATCTTACACTCTTGGTATATATTCCATTTGGTCATGTTATAAAATCCTTTTTGTACGTTGCCAGATTCAGTTTACTAACATTTTTCTTAAACAGCTTTATTAAGTTATAATGGATATAGGATAAACTGCACATATTTAAACAATTTGGTAAGTTTTCACACGAGTAAACACCTGCAAAACCAGTTTGAGGAGAAAAAAAGTCCAAGCCTGTTAAGAATTTCTGTGTCTATGTCTATGGTACTACACACCATAGGAATATTGGTGTGTAGTTTTATTTTGTTTTTCCCTTGTGATGTCTTTGTCTAACTGGTATGAGAATAATACTGGCTTCATAGAATAAGTTGGGAAGTATTGCCTCTCATCTATTTTCTGAAATAATTTCTGAAGAATTATCCTTTCTTCTTTAAATATTTGATGGAACTCACTAGTGGAGCCATCCACTCCCAGATTTTCTCTGTGGGAAAATTTTTAATTAATTAATTTCTTTTTTTGAGACAGGGTCTCATTCTGTTGCCCAGACTGGAATGCAGTGGTGGGATCATGGCTCACTGCAGCCTCAACCTCTCAGGATCAAGCATTTCTTCTGCCTCAGCCTCCCAAGTAGCTGGGATTACAGGTGTATGCCACCACCCTGGCTAATTTTTAAAATTTTTAATTATTAGGAGTATATAGTAGGTGTATACATTTATGGATTACATGAGACATTTTGATATAGAATGCATATTATTATGCAATGCATAAAAATCACATCAGGGAAAATGGGGTATCCTCAAGCATTTATCCTTTGTGTTACAAGCAATCCAATTATACTTTTAGTTATTTTTAAATATACAATTAAATTATTTTTGAGTATATCCTGTTGTGCTAGAAAATATTAGGTCTTATTCTTTCTATTTTTTCTACCGAATGACCATTTCTATCCCCCCCAGTGTCCCACTACTCTCCAGCTGCTGGTAACCATCTTTCTACTCTCCATCATCATGAGTTCAATTGTTTTAACTTTTGGCTCCCACAGATAAGTGAGAATATGTGAAGTTTGTCTTTCTCTGCCTCGCTTATTTCACTTAATATAATGATCTCCAGTTCCATCCATGTTGTTGCAAATGACAGGATCTCATTCTTTTTTATGGCTTCCTAGTACTCCATTGTGTATATGTATCACATTTCCTTTATTCATTAACCTGTTGATTGGCACTTCAGTTACTTCCAAATCTTGGCTATTGTGAATAGTGCTGCAATAAACAAGGGAGTGCAGACAGCGCTTAAATATACTGATTTTCTTTCTTTTGGGTACATACCTAGGAGTAGGATAGCTGGATTGTATGGTAGTTCTATTTTTATTTTTTTGAGGAACCTCCAAACTGCTCTCCATAGTGGTTGTACTAATTTACATTCCCACCAAGAGTGTACAGGTGTTCCGTTTTCCCCATAATCTCACCAGCATTTATTATTGCTTGTCTTTTGGATAATAGTCATCTTAACTGGGGTGAGATAATATCTCATTGTAGTTTTGATTTGCATTTCTCTGATGATCAATGATACTGTGTACCTTTTCATATACCTGTTTGCCATTTGTATGTCTTCTTTTGAGAAATGTCTATTCAGATGTTTGGCTTTTTTTTTTTTTTTTTTTTTTTGAGAC